TGTGAAAAAATGGGAGTTCAGTCTGAAATTGAAGATGAAGGATTCCAAAACATGATTTTGAGAAAAGGGTGTCAAGAATTAGGATATCCAGTGGAAACAATCCCTACAAACGCGCCCTCGGATCATTATTGTGGATGGTGCAGCATGGGTTGCAAAGATGGGAAGAAAAAAGGAACAGCTGAGACATGGCTAGTCGATTTGGTGAAATCGGGAAATGGTGCAATACTTCCTGAATGTGAAGCATTGGAAGTGATCCATGAAGAAAAGAATGACAATTCAGGAAAAAGAAAAGCTATTGGAGTTGCTTTTGCATTTCAAAATATTGAAGGGATGAGAGAAATTTGTATGGTGAAATCAAAAGTCACAATAGTAGCTTGTGGTGCTCTTAGCACTCCTTCATTGCTCAAGAGGAGTGGCTTAAAGAATCCAAATATTGGCAGAAACTTACACCTACATCCAGTCGTCATCGCTTGGGGATACTTTCCAGATTCACCATCAACATCTAATGAAATATGGCCAAAAGCAGAGAAGAAAAGTTATGAAGGAGGGATAATGACAGCCATGTCTAAAGTCGTGGCGAATTTTGAAGGATCAGGATATGGTGCAGTCATACAGACACCAGGATTGCACCCTGGAATGTTTTCAGCACTAATGCCATGGGTTTCAGGACTAGATTTCAAGATGAGGATGAGCAAATATTCAAGAACAGCGTATATCTTCGCGTTGGCAAGGGACAAGGGATCAGGGGAAGCACTTTCACCATATTCAATATCTTACAAGTTGGATCAAACTGACGAAGAAAATCTAAAAGCAGGCCTAGAGAAGACACTAAGAATCTTGGCAGCTGCTGGTGCAGAAGAGATTGGAACTCAACAAGAAAAAGGGAGGAGTTTGAAGGTGAACGAAGCAAGTTTGAAGGAGTTTGAGAGGTTTGTGAAAGAAGAAAGTTCAATAGAAATTGGAAAACATTCAGTTCCTATATGTTCAGCACATCAAATGGGAAGTTGTAGAATGGGAGTTGATCCAAAAACTTCAGTGGTTAATTCTAAAGGAGAAACATGGGAAGTAGAAGGTTTATTTCTTGGTGATTCAAGTGTGTGTCCAACAGCAATTGGAGTGAATCCAATGGTCACAATTCAGGCCATTTCTTATTGCACTGCACAATCTGTGCTCCAACTTC